GGGGGGGTATGTAATACTTTAAAACTCCAGTCGACAGAATAATGTGTGGGTGGTTGGCGGGTGCTCCCGTGTGGTTTGCTTCTTCTTTCCTATCAAGCATCTTTTGTTTTGTTCTTTCTTCTGCTGCTACTGTAGTTACTGCTACAACTGCTGCTGATGTTCTTCTTTCAATCACGACTTACCGTTACCGTTACTACTAAGTGACTTCTGGCGGCCTTGAGATGTGCAGGCCATGGGTGTTCAGCCATACACTGAAGCCCCCTTAATTTTGTTTTAGTTTTAGTAATAGTTTTACGGCACTTGCAACACAATAAGGTCACATAAGTGCCGAAGATTAGAGGTGTTACAAGAGAGTTAAAAAAAACATTTACAAAAAGACGGAAGGGAGATAGAGACAATAGATGTTGGATAGGAAAGAAGGAGCAAACCACACCAGACACCCACCAACCACCCACAAATGGCTGCTGGGTCGGAAAAGTAAGGTAAGTAAAGTAAAAGTTGCTGCTGCTACTGCTGCTACTGCTGCTACTGCTACTGCTGCTACTGCTGCTACAACTGCTGCCGGTGTTCTTCTTCCAACGAACCACGAGTTACCGTTACCACAAAGTGACTTTAAGCGGCCTTGAGCTGTGTACACGGGTGTACATGAGGAACTGAGAAGGCCTAGGTGTGCAGGTAAACACTTAGTTTAGTTTTAGTAATAGTTTTACGGCACTTGCAACAAAATAAGGTCATATAAGTGGCGAAGATTTTAGAGGTGTTACAAGAGAGTAACTAACACAAAACAGAAGGAGGGGAGATAGAGACGACAAATTTTGTTAACAGAAAGAATGAGCAAACCACAAAAGAGCACCCGCAAACTACCCACAAATGGCTGCTGGGCCGGAAAAGTAAGGTAAGTAAAGTAAAAGTTGCTGCTGCTGCTGCCGTTGTCCTTCTTCCAACCACGAGTTACCGTTACCACCTTGTGGCTTCTGGCGGTCTTGAGATGTATACATGGTTGTACACGAGGAACTGAGAAGGCCTAGGTGTGCAGGCATACACTTAGTTTAGTTTTAGTAATAGTTTTACGGCACTTGCAACACAATAAGGTCATATAAGTGTTGAATATTAGAAGTGTTACAAGAGAGTAACTAACACAAAACAGAAGAAGGGGAGAAAGAGACGATAGATTTTTTTTTATGTAGGAAAGAAGGAGCAAACCACACCAGAGCACCCGCCAACCACCCACTGGTGGTGTTCTTCTTCCAATCACGAGTTACCGTTACCACCAATTGACTTCTGACGGTCTTGAGATGTGCATATGAATGTGCAGTCATACGTGGATGACCCTGCGTTACTCAGTGCTTAGAGAGCACATTGTCATGTACAATGTACTTAATGCCGAGCACTTTGACCTGTGGACCCCGACTTCTGATCACTTCAAAGATAACCTTTAACCTCTGCGCTTACTCATTATTGCGTGTGCCATAAACTACGATAGGCCTAGCTTGTTTGTAGTAGGAATACAAGAAGATGAACATTTTTAACGGTTGTTTTTTTTTTTTTTTTTTTTTTTTTTTGGGGGGGGGTAGATAAATAGTGAGGGGATTGTACAGAAGGGACAGACCGACAGACAGACTGACAGACAGACAGTAGACGGACAGGATTGTACAGAGGGGACAGACAGACAGACAGACAGACAGATAGACAGCAGACGGACAGCCAGCCAGCCAGCCAGCCAGACAGTTCTGGTAAGTGTTTTACGGCACTTGCAACACAATAAGGTCATATAAGTGCCAGAGATTAGAGGTGTTTACAAGAGAGTAACAAACACAAAAATGGAGGAGACATAAGGACGACAGATGTTTGATAGGAAAGGAGGAGCAAACCACACCAGAGCACCCGCCAATTTCATGGAAGCTAGATCTATGCATTTCTTACCGTCTGGGTTTTCTTTTTAAAGTTTTAGTTTTAATAAATTTGCAATCTGCTACACACATTAATAGGTACCGATAGGTCTAATAAGTGTTTTTTTAGAAGTGTTACTCTAGACAGTGACATACAAAGAAAAGAAGAAGAAGAAAAGATAAAGATGATAACTGCTTAATAGGAAAGACGGAGCAAACCACACCAGAGCGCCCGCCAACCACCCACACTTCTTACTGCTGATTAGTCTGCAGTTCACAGCTGACGGTGATGAACTAAATATTTTCCGTGACAACAAAGCGCACAACACGGCACTGTTCATGAACTGTGGACAGATAGATCTACTGTGAAGTAGTGTGAAGTGAGCTTGACCTTGAACTAGATCTATATCTCCAACCTAGACTTGTTATTGAAGTCCGACTGAAGTTGTTGGTTTTTTGGATAGGGTTTTTTGGGGGTCGGAGTCTTGTCAGCAACGTCGCATTTATGGTAATACTAAAAACTAATAGATGTACAGTACATGCATGTATGGCATTTATCGAGCCAAGCCTAAAATCATTCTGTGATAACACAAAACGGCTCAAATTAAAAACATCTCCTCTGTCTCCCCAATAGATAGGAAAGAGACAGAGACAGACAGAATTATGTGCGTGGCGTGTGTTGTTGTTGTTGGGTTTGTTTGTTAGTTTGCTTTTTTTTTGGGGGGGGGCGGAGGGGTGGTCAGTATTATAGTATTATTTAGCAAGGCGTCAGATAGGGTAACACACGCGCGCGCGCGCACACACACACACACACACACACACACACACACACAAACATACACATGATATAATACACGCACATACATGTGCGATGACGTTACACACGTAGCCCTACTTCTCAGTTATCTAGGACAGTTCCATCATTAACTCTTTGCAAGAGGAGAAAATACATGTCCAAGAAAAGGTCAGGCACGAAATACATGTATTTCAAAAATAGACAGCGTGACT